TACCCTAGGGAGACGAAGGGTGTCCTGCAGGTACAGTGGTGTGTAGACTTGGAACTAGATTAATATATTTACCCTAGGGAGGCGAAGGGTGTCCTGCAGGTACATTGGTGTGTAGACTTGGAACTAGTTTAATATATTTACCTTAGGGAGACGAAGGGTGTCCTGCAGGTACAGTGGTGTGTAGACTTGGAACTAGTTTAATATATTTACCTTAGGGAGACGAAGGGTGTCCTGCAGGTACAGTGGTGTGTAGACTTGGAACTAGTTTAATATATTTTACCTAGGGAGACGAAGGGTGTCCTGCAGGTACAATGGTGTGTAGACTTGGGACAGGTTAACAAACATTCTGCTTGCCATGTAGACAAAGGCAACCTGAAAGACAAGTATCCAAAACTTTAGGTTTGTAGATAATAAAAAATGCCCCACCCACCGGGGGCTCAACGGCAAGTCTCGCGGCTTATATCACAGCTAGTTCATTGCATATCTTTGTGTTTAACAATACATTAACAAAATATGATGCTGCACACAATTATATAGAATGTAAATAGCATTTAAATTTCATTTTGAATAAACTATATCAAAAACGGAAGAAACAGCAGCGAAATTATTAGCATGCCTTATATTATATATAACATAAATACTCTGAAATATCCATACACAGTTATTGATAGGATATTTAACTCAAAATGTTTATTTTTTACTGAGGAGAAAAAGCAAATTATAACCTCGTAGAACTGTAGCTTCTTCAACCATTCCTTCCAGGTAAGATGTTGCTCGCCATGGTTTTCAGCGAGATTTAACTCGATTTCTGAATCAAACTGTAGTTTGCCTTCATCTGTACCGTGTGACTGTCTTTGTATTTTGGAGTCATTGTTCTCAGCATGGTTCGAGTGTATTAGCGCATTTATATCAAACGAATAACTCCGAGGACGATATGAATCGAGAGCTTCCAATGGGACACCTGTATCTTCTGTATTCTGATTTTGTCTTGTTTCTTGTGTTTCTGGATTCGTTTCTTTCACAAAGAAATGAAAAATTACAGAAAAGGCAATCCCTACTGGTAGTACGCTGAAAACGATGTTCTGGAAGGGAATAACAGTAAATTCAAAACTGAAAATTTGTTTTTACCTTTTTACAATATTCTATCTGTAAAAAAAGTGTAAGTGATGCAATTACATTTTTGCTTAAGAATGAGAAATACAAAAAAGGGGGGATAGCAACAACAAAGAGGAGCACTTGTTGTTATTCATACCACTTATTAAGATAGCAACAACAAAGAGGAGCACTTGTTAGAGTGATATGTTGCTATATTTATGTTAATTGGTTAGGACTGGAGCATTGGACAAATGTGTGATATATATAAAATTACCCGAGTAAATGTTTTGCAATTATGTATATAAATTACTTAAGCGCACTTCATTAGATTAGTGATTTGGTAGAAGTTAAAGTACAGGTAACCCCTCGATTGTTTTATAACGTATTCTTGGATCTGATATTTTTCCTGTCAATAAATATACATGTCACGTGTTTTAAATAACCAGAGAATACGCGATTTCTTCGCGGATATTACTCGAAGACGAGTACTAACGGCTGAACAACTTAAATTTGTAAAATAGGGCTGAGACACAATATTGAACAATAAGCGATTACTAATTAATTTTTGAACAGTGTACACGCATAAAGTAGGAGGCTTTTATAATACTTCTTATTGCACCCTGGTCAATAGTTTTTCATTCATTCAACGATTAAAACACACTAACCCGGAATAAGTGTGCGTCTTGTGGTCCCAGCTGTCGTTCAGTGTCGTTGTCTTCAGAAACTCCCAACACAACCCACGTGATGGAATAAACACAAATGCTAGAAATCACCGTAAAAGCATGTCTAAAGAAAAAAAAAGCATTAATTAACCAAAGTTTTCAAAGGATCTACATAAAAGTCATTAAATCTTTATGCCTTGCAATCTTGGATTTTCCAGAATCCTAAAAAGATTTTACGGAGAAGATGTTTCACCTTACTCTTTCGTTGTTAAAACTTCGAGAATGTTCTAGAACAACATTAATAAGTCAAAAGTGGACTGGAGGGTTTTGTTCCTAAACTTATTATAGTTAGCGGCCAAACTTCTAACTCTGTTGATTCACACCAAGCCATATTCGAAACAACAAATATTTTAGGGGATCCACTATTTTTTCAACCTACTTTCCTTTTTTTTGTCACGAAAATAAAAAGACAGAAACTTGGTTTTTGTTTTGCAATAATTTTAGAAAAAAATCCATGAATTTAAAGAGTTTGTTTGTTACAGATTTCGCGCAAAGATACACGAGGGCAATCTGTGCTAGCCGTCCCTAATTTAGCAATGTAAGACTAGAGGGAAGGCAGCTAGTCATCACCACCCACCGTCAACTCTTGAGCTACTCTTTTACCAACGAATAGTGGGATTGACTGTCACATTATAACGCCCCCACGGCTGAAATGGCGAGCATGTTTGGTGGGACGCCCTAACCACCTGGCCATGCTGGGCCTAACTTAAAGAGAAAACGGTGAAAAGCAATTTATTAGAAGATTAGCAAAAAGCTTTAAAAGAATTACATTAAAATATAGATAATGTCATTTCAAGATACGGTATAGAAAACTGTGGTTAAGATTTAATATTCAGATTGTCTTCATGAAGTACATGTTTTGCTTCCTGATACAACTCACTACAAATTTCCTAATACTCTTACTAGAAGTAGAGAACTGAAACTTAATTCATTCCTTTTAGAGTTAAAAGAAGCAAAAATGTGTAAACAAATCTGTTTATTAGTTTTAAGATCAAATGACTCAGTAACTCCTCATATTTATGGAATGCAAAGATTACTTAAGAAAGTGTCCCTAAACCCTTTTATTTCAGCTTTCCAATCTTGCAGATTACGTGCGTCTAAAACGAATTCTTCTGTGAAAAAAAAAAAAAAAATGTTGTTGGGTTCTAGGTGACAATCCCAAGGGTCGCAATGGAGGCAATGACCCTTAATATGCAAACTAGCTACTTGGCAGGAAGTAGAAAAGAGTTCCTTTATTGGCATTACCAGCGGTCTTCTTGCTGTGCACTGTCTTACTGATTCCTAGCTACACCTTATGATACTTTGTTTTCCAGCAGTCCTATTCATTCCCTCTGAATGTCGATGAAGACTCTCCATGATTGCAGCTTTTATCTTACTAGTGCAGAAGAGTTCGATATCCATTTAGTAGAGTTGTGCTGGATTTAATAAAGAGGCTCTTCGTGGGAACTTGTCAGCTTCCTCGTTTAGCTTTACCGTTACATGACCTGGCACATCCATCCATTCATATGATAGTCTTACCATACAAGGTTGCGTTGCTTTCTGACATCCGTCAGTGAACCAAACACTTTGAATTTTATGCAGTACTGTCAGTCATAAATACTATGTTGGTGGCAACGAATATTTGTGTTCATTGCTTTCAAAAATACAGAAGATAACTTGCTTTATGGCTTACAACTCCATCATTGTGCTGTTAGTGGGAAGCTTGAATGATTCACCAGCCTTACAACGAATACCCAACAAGCTCTCTCACTATCGCCCCCTCAGTGGCGGACTTACAACGCTAGAATCCGAGTTTCAATACCTGTAGTGGGCAGAGCACAGATAGCCCAATTGTGTAGCTTTGTGATTAATTACAAACAAACAAACTCTCACTATCTTTGGTGTGGAAACCACTTACTACTATGATGACAGGTGATTGTCCACCGTTGTCTTTAAATGGGTGCTGACAAGCTTCAACCTTTCCCCAAACTGGATTACCTCTCTGATTTCTACAGATCTCAAACCCATACCTTGGCAACTGTCACATCCAATAAATGCTCAAAATAACATTTCACTGGTGCATTTGTTCGTCCTGAATCCGAACCCAAAAACTATTTTTCCCCATATGGTATCTTCGCGGAGAAATTAAGCCAGTCAGGAACTTTATCCATTAAACATATGTATAAAAATCGCCATGATCATTGCAAGTGGGTCAGCGTGTCTGGTTATCCGACCTCCTTTGATATTTTTTCTATATTATTTGATAAAAAATTGTACCAAATTTATCGAATATGTCGAATAAAATACGTTTTAAATATGTAAAATACTATTTGATCTCAAATACACTTAGGGTAAAATTTTCATAGTATCGAAACAATCAGTCATAAAATATATATAATCATGGTTGAACCAGACAAATTTTTCATAAACTTAAAATGCTCTCTGGAACCTGAGAAAATTGACAGTTTAGACCTACGCATAAAATGCCCGGGTATTTGAAGTTGAAGGTACAAATCGTTGGTACAGCAACAGAGAACACAAATGTAAGCTTAATTTAGTATAAAATGCAATAGTTAAGTAAACTGATCCAAGATGACTAATATATGTTCAAAATGACTGAAAGTAATTAGAATATTTGTAAGAAATTAAAAAGAATATTAACTGGGCTTTAAGTCAAAACAAAATTTAGAGAGCTCATATTCAATCGCCTTTACTCACCAGCCCCTGAAAATTTTATTTCCAATAAAGTTCCATTAATTTAAGATAGCAGTAGTTGAATGCAGAGGGTTTAGTTAAGAGCCACGTAGGGTTGTCAAGACTTTGCAGAAAAAGTTCCGAAAAGAGGTTTCCATACTGATCCCATCATATATTGAACTCTCAAAACAAGTTTCTAATAGCAAGAATAAGGAATCTATTCGATACATAGTTAGATACGATTTAGGATTGTCATCACGTATGAATTAATCTAGATTAAAGTAGAATATAGAATCAGAGTGAAAAGTGAATCAACGTTAAAATTTTAAAATGCCTTTAGCAATGAAATGATATGGTTTTACTAGAAACAAAATGTTCCTTTTTAAAGCTTCAAACCATGAAGAATTATAAGAAATAAAACACAGAAAAACATGTTTAGTGATATTTTCCAGTACTTGTTGACATTTTTATGAATTATTTCCAACTTTTGAGATGTTTATATATATATACAGAAACACATATAAATATGGCCATGCAACGTTTTAACTCTTTACTTAGATCATCCTCAGGCACACAAAAAGAACCAAAATTAGGCACAATATAAATTATGAGATAAAAAGAATGTTCTAATCGCGAGAAGCAAGAACAACAATAAAATTAACTAGCAATAATAATGACTGTATTATACAGTTCTTTTCTTTTCACCCAAGGTAATATTGAAAATATAATCTGTGACTGATGAGCCCTCAGTAGGCAAACTACAGTCCACAGTAGAGGGTGCGGAGAATCAAAGAATCCATTAGGCTCCTACTTCACAGATTATATTTTCAATTTTACCTTTAGTGAAAATAAAATAAATCTGTAATATAATCAACAAACAGTTGGTACGCTGCGTAATATCGAACTAGACCATCGTGACCCGTTGGGTCACCACTATTCAAGGTTATGAAGAATTCAAACTAATTTAATATTGCACCG